CAGTGTAACTGTCTCAGGGTCTTTTGAAAATCATGCTGTAAGAATCAGATCTCATAAAGCTAACTGAAATCATTCCCTGATGCCAGGCAAGGATGAACCTGACTCTGCTATGGTTTGGTTTTACAATCCCTGTGGATCCCCTGGGCTGATATTAATGACAGTGCAGAGACAAAGGGAGCTTTTCAAGGTCTTCAGAGTGTTTCCAAGAAATTTCAGTCTTCGAAGAGTAACATTTTTCTCCCCACCAGTTAAATGTATACTCTATTTGACTCCAGCAATTGCATCAGATGGAATTTCAGGGGAGGGCAGATAATCAGGTTCAAAGCAGCATAGTTCAATAGATGTTAATGGAGCTTTGTCAACTCATAAAACCCCACAATTAGGCCCCAGTGATATTAGTAGAGATACTGGTGATTTGTACTGGTAAATCACTGAGATCAGGCTCATGGCCATCACAAGAGTTTGCTGGTCCTCTTGGTGGTGTGCAGGGAGGCCAAGATATACTCAGAAATTCATGCTAATGAAGAAAAACAGACTTTCTAAAAGAAAGAAGATCCTCTATGCTGTTGCTACGCTTTGCTGTACATATTGCAGTGTATAATTTATTGCCTGTACTATTTCTTATTTCTTTTGTGGCTGTAAAGATTATTCAATGATGTTTTTGTTCCTCTAGCAAACAATGGCAATTGCAGCTCAAAACAGAAGTAGAACGTTTCCCTGCTTCACTGCTTATGTGATAAGATAATTATTCCAAAAATATGCTCCTGCTTGCGTCTCAGCAAGGCAGGGGGAGCCGTTATCATATTAGCTGGTGACAAGCTACCAAAATTTGTGAGAGAGACTGCTTTGTGTTTGCAGATGTTGGCAAAGAGGAAAGAGAACACAGGTAAGACCATCTGCTGTTCACATCTGAATAAGAAAAGGAGATGACACACAATTTCTGTTAACCCTGGGGTAAATCCAAAAAGTCTTCCCTCATTCCTTACATAGGGTTTTTCCTGTGTACAGCTTGAGTGACAGCTGGCAAGGACCTTGGAAGATAGGGTTGCACCATAAAGATACAGAGAAGAAAAGACAGGAAGTTCAGGGTATGCCAGCAACGAAGGACTGCTCAGATGACTGCAAGCTTGTTTGCAATGTCATGTTTGTGCAATCCCACAGATTTCAAAATCTTTCTTCCTATCTGAATATGTTAAATTGCTATCTATTACTAAGAATTGCTGCATGATTCTCATTCTACATGTATCAATACCTTGTGAAAAAGTGACCTACTCACATAGTCACCTCCAGTTTTCCGACTATAAGTGTTTGTCTCGTTCTCTCTCCCTCCCTAGGATTTTTAAAACAAGCTTTCAGCTTCAGGCAGAGTCCAGACACTGAAACCAGAAATTTCTTTATTCCTGGCCTGAGTCTCTTGATAGGATCCTGATTTTCCTCACTCCTGCTAATCAGGGACAAGCCCACTTACAGGAGATGATCAGCTCCCTGCTGCTCTAAGTGGGATAATGCTGCTACACTGACCTTCACCAGCAGACAGTGGCCAAGTATAAAAGACCACAATACAAACTGATATGGGAGAGAACTCAGCTTATGTTTCTATTTGTCGCACAACAAGTCTCCATTTGCTCTCTTAGGTTTTTCCTTGAAACAATGTACTGAAATTTGCAATGTCCACCCCCCACAGCTGCTGTTCTCATCTTTAATTAGACATATCTCATATGCAGCCCTTGTAACTTCACTTTTCTTTCTCACTCAGATGCTGTATCTTAGAGAAGTCAGTCCTGAAAATTGCTATCTTTATATGTACAGAGTTGAAAGAAAACCATGGAGTACATTAGGCTCCAGCTTTTTAATTATCAGTTCATAATGAAGGGCTCTCTTTGTGGGAAAAAGAATAATTTCCTGAAGGCTGAACCACTGCAGGGTTTCCAAGGCTTGGAAGAAAATATTGATCGTTTGACAATGAGTCTCTCCACATTCACAGTGCAGAATGGAAAATTCCAGCTTTGCCATAACCCCCTCATCCCAGAAAAACAAGTAGCTATACTGCTGCAAGCTGGGAGGCGGTGCTGGGAGAACAGTCCGTCCAGATCATGAGCAGGCATGCTCCTTTCCATGTATATAAAGTGCATTGAAAAGAGAAATGGATGATTCAAGCAGTAATGCTCAGAAACTGCAAAGAAAAAGATGGATGGAAGTGCACTCCATATGATAGGTCAAAGTTCAGCAGTTTTAGGAGAAAATACAAATTGTTTTTTTACTTTAGAAAGATCTTTCTCCTCCCTGACCTTCTATTTTATCTAAGTGCTAACCCCCATTAAACTATTCAAGCAAGAGAACTAAAAATTCAGAGCCATAAAAGCCAAATTAAACTGAGTAACCAATGCCAAGTTTTGATACTTGAAAATGCTCAAGTGCCAAACCCACCACCTTCGAGAGACTTTCTAATTGCTCCCAATTTTCCAAGCAAGATGCATAGACATTGCCAGGGTATGCACACATTTACACACTTGATAAACATAAGATGTAAGCTTTTAATTTCCTAAAAATAAATAATACAACTTCAGAGAAAGCTGCTCCAAAGTCAAATGTGAAACACCAAATGTGTGGTACAGGAGCTATACAAAGGTGATTACAATTGCTATGCCATCCCAAAGTGAGTTAATGACATTCCTTGAGAGACTAGTTTCATTGCATTTTAACATCTAAACTGATATTTCCTTCAGCTGAATTTAAATCCTTGTCTTTAGTCCACGCCCAAATTACTACCTACTGGGAAAAAAGGTCTCTGTGGCCTCTGAGAAACAGCAGATGCTGCGAGAGCAAGATCTTCTGGGACTCAAGGAGGCCTCTGTAGCCTCACGGCGAGAGGTGGAGAGGCAAAGTGCAGGGGAACCAAGCCCTGAACCCGCTGTGCTGTGCTTGGCTGAGGGAGGGGATGGCAGGTTTAAGCAGCAGGAGCAGGAGTCAACCTTGTCCTTTGGCCAGACAACTCTCAGCCACAGTGCTGTGACAGCCTAGAGCCATAGATTTTATGTGCTAGCTCATATTTTTGTATTTCTGTATTTAAAAGCATTGGGGTGTTATCTCCTTTAAGACTGTGATCATTCAGATGGGGTTTCTGCTGCTCCTTTAAAGTCTTACCAATCACTCATCGCTTAATTCTGCATTTTGCAGCCAATCTTCTCTTGTTCCTCCACAGCCTGACCACTGCTCCACTACAGAATCTCTCCTTGCTTGGAAAAAGTCATTCCTACACAAACCTTTTCAGATTCTCATCTCAAGGTCAGTCTTCTCACAGGTCTTCCATGACTGCCATTAAAGGTTTGCTGTCCCCATGCCCAGACAGCTTTTCTTCTCTGATTTTCATCCCAGTATCTATTTTCTCAACACTCAGATTTCTTTCCAGCTGCATTATTTCATGATTTCTGACATTCTGCCTGTGCATTGTCATTCTCTGTGTCATTTTCCATTAATTTCCAGAACGCTCACTATTGCCAGTCTAAAACCAATATATTTCTGCTAAGCCTGACAAATACTTATCCATCAAACAGAAAATATTTTTTTAATTAAAAGAGAAAACACTATTATAGCGAACTCTATTTTTGGTTTCTGGGCATGATCCTAGGTTCACTGTTAACAACAGAACTGCTGCATCAGATATGATGTATAGACTTTTTGCTTGCTTATTTGAAACATGTTTTTTAGAAACAGAACATTCCCATATACTTTGTCCACACCTGCTGCTGAAAAGGAAGTGTAGAGTATGTGCTTTGCCCACATCACATACACAGAGAACAATTCCTGCAAAGAAAATGGCTGTCTTTTACAAACTCCTTTGTTTCTGTTAATTTATGGGAACATTCTACCGACTTATTTCTCTTGGGAGAGAATTTTGCAGTCAGGGACAGAGTTTAATTAGCTGCTATCAAGTTATTAATATGAGGAGTGAAATTGGCTAACCTGCACTCTGTGGTCAGCTGTTTCCTAAATTCCTTGTCCAAAGTAAACACCTTCTACATTCATTTATTCTCTACAGAATGTGCTTTGCTACTTGCAACAACAAGTAAGTTTTCATCCTGTGTGCTATTATTTTCCAAACTGCACATATGCAAAAATAACTGTCTTTCTCATTTTGGAGCAGTTGAACGGCTCATATTTTAACCAGAATTTCCAGCAGTTTTTGTTCTACTTTTCATTTAACTGCAATTGCAAACTCAGCCACATTGTTCAGCTGAAGCAGCCTGGGCTTCCCTCAGGAAGCCACTGACTGCAGGAGAAGAGCAAAACCTAAAGCAGAGACACTGTAACCCCCCTGGCAAGGAGCCTCGTGTTTCACATTGTCTAAGGGACCGTGCAAGAGCAGCACACCACAAAGGCAACCCACAGCCCATAGGTGCTGGAATCCCTTGGACCTGGAGATAGGAGTGCTAGTGGCAAAGGCAGGTTGGAGAGAGCCTGGAAGAGTTAAGAAACATAAAAATCCTCTAGTCCAAAGGTCTGAAGATTGAGGTAGGTTTGAGGAACAATCAATTGGCACAGCATGTGCTGAGAATACACAATCTGTCCAGCCCGTGCTTTGAAGCACTGAATCAAAACACCTGTTAGAAAGGAATTAAACTGCTTCTGGAGGCTTCAAAGGCTAATACATGCCTTCCCACAGCCCACAGCTCCATGGCCCTTCAAGTGACAGGGGCATTCTGCATCTTAATAGCAGGATTTAGAGCCTATTCACAGGTTAGTCGTTTCTGTCCTAAATCCAATATTGCAAGCTGCAGCTTATTTAAAGTGATGCTGCACTGTCATTCCTCCACAAAGAGCCTTGTCACCTTTCCATTCCTTGCATAGGCAGTCCCATTTTTAGTCTGCATCTTTCAATGAGAAATATGTAATCTCTAAGATTGGGAGTTCAGTTCTACTCAGTATTTCAAATTTTGTAGCAGAGGAACTATAATAATAAGAAAATCCACATTTTACAGAAGAGGTCAGCATGTACTTACATAATTGGATGCAAGATCAGGATGCAGATAATCGATTCCTGCAATAAGATGATGACAGAACAGAAACCAAAGGTTAAGAGTTTCAAAAAAGATTTTCTAATGATCACAGAACAAGATTCCTTTGCAACCATAGGAAAATTATAATGGTGAATAATGCAACTGATTGAAATGAGATTCCACGTTTTAAATATGGATTTTTACATTTTTTCAGTCCCAGTTAGTAATTTCCAATCATTTGTGTCAAAATCCAGATACCAATTGAAAAGGTGAGCTGAATGACAAAATTTATTGATCTGTTTTGTAGACTAGCTCATGTTTACTTGTTAAGATTAGGTAAAATAACGATTTATCTTTATACAAGCTTTGTCTCCCCAAAGCATACCAAAACTAACAAGATTGGTAAGCACTGGCTCAGTACAGGATAGATAAAGGAGTATTTTTAACCACTGAAAATTGTAAACTATGTAGAAAATTACCTAAAGTAGACTTGGGGTGATCACTAAGACAAACATTTAATGTCGGATCAGACCATTTTAGCAAACATCTGTACAGAGGCTCCACACCATGTAGCATGCTAAAGATTGTAATAGGGCACTGGTGCAGAATATGCTCATTCTCTTGCATGGCATCTTTCTATATATTGCAAATGTACAAATCCCAGTGGATGGTGTAACAGAAGCAGCAAATCTACACTCAGATAGGATAAACTGACCTATTATATACCCAGTTAAAATACACAAAGATATGGCCACCAATCTCATGTTACATTTTGGTCATTATTCTATCCTGCCTCTCCAACCACCACACCATTATATGCTCTATTTTATTTGCAAGGAGAATACCATATCGTCATGATTATTCTGATTAAATGATTACCTCCCATTATGCAGGGTCCTTAGCACTAGATTTGTGTGAAGAGACGCTTGTACCTTTACTGATTCAAATGGTAGATGGACAATAAAAGTCTGAATGAAGAATCATGTTATTTAGGCCTCTTTTCCAGAGCTACTGGAAACAAAGGCTGAGGCAAATTACTCCCTTCTCTAAAAGCTGTATCTGATGGTCCATCAGCTTAATTTGAGGAACAGAAATAAGTGAGCACAGATCTCAGTTGACCCTAGAAAACATATGTGGATCCAAACATTTTATTTATTGTTAATATTATTCAGTCCCCATGAATGGAAAATATTGAAAACTTATTCCAAAGAAAATTAAAAGAATTCACAGAATTCCTGTATACAGCAAGAAACCTGTAAGTAGAACAGCTGTAACCTCAACTGTACCTTTTATCTTCATCTTTCTTGAACTTAGCCTCAAATTAGTAATATATTTAATATGCAGATCTTTATTGATATTCAGCACAAAAGTCTTTAATTATTTCAGCTGACAAGTGTGACTTTGAGAATAATGTAACTCAGAAAATGTTTTCTGAAGTATTTTTTTGCACAGCAATTACATCCCCCAGTCAGTGCCTACAGAAGTCAAGGGGAGATTTTCCTTTGACTTAATGGCCATTATAGTGTGCCCTGGAAGATATTTGAGTGATAATTGAAAATTACTTTTAATGCTTAGACATCCATGCTTCAGTATCCCTAGTGAAATCTTTGTATCATGTTTTCCCTGAAGATCTCAAAGTCTTTATGGAAGCTGGCAGTCTGACCACTGTAAGCAATCCATTATTACTTTTTAATCTTTTTTAGACACTGTGATTACATGAAAAAAGACCCCTTAAAATATTAAATTAGAGCTCAGTCTCCACTTACCATCATCCATAATTCCTATGGTTACTCCCTTCCCTGTGTATCCCAGTTCCCATGCTTCAGCTACGTTAAGGTCAAGTCCAGGAGTCCCATCTGCTTGACCAGTGTTAATCTAGTACATCAGTAAAAAAGAAAAATAGCTTTTTTTACTTGACTGACATATTTCCACAGCCACTGATTTTTCTTTTATATTTTTACATATCTCTTTGGCATGGAAAATACATCCCATTTGTTTTGGAGTGCTCATCTGTACATAATCATATCTACAGCAATAATGCAGCTATGAAAAAAAAAAGCCCACAAAAAAAGCCCAAACAAACCAATCCTGGGTAAATTCAATTCTTTGTAGTTTATAAGAATAAACACTGAATCCTTTGGACCCCCAAAAAAGGCTTTTCTAGTTAAGCATGTCAGGCCAGTAGGTCAATCCAGAAAAAAGTTAGATCAACTGATTTTACAGAGGACTTTTTTATGAGCAGGAAATACTTTTTTCTTGAAACCAATGAACTACTGTATAGCTTCACAAATTTTTATTATTCTTATCACTGCAACATTTTGATTAAATATCAGCAAAAAAAGTGAATTAATCCACACTTTAGTTTTTCATCTCATCAAGGATTAGATCACATCCATGCTCATCTGTCCCCATTCCTCTGAAAGCTCTTACCTTAAGAAAAAACCCACAGCCATATAGAATGGATTCACAAAAAAAGAAGAAATGGATTAAAAGGAAAAAGAATAAGAAATACTACTCTTAAGCAAAAAGACCCTTCTTAAGTTAACAAGGGATTACTGCATTTACTAAGCATTTCATCCTAAGTAGGTTGCAGCATTAAAACTGACTGGAACTACTTTATCAACATTTTAAACAGGAAAAAAACCCATTTTAATAGAATCATAGAATTTTGGCTACTTCCATATAAAAAAATACAGTTTTTGTTCTATGATTAAAGACTTTTCCCTATAAAATATGACACATTAAAAATGAAACAATTTAGCAAATTATTAATTTTCCTTTCACTTAAGCTTAAGCCAAAATTCATCAGTTTTCAGCTGTTCTGCTTTTGACAGAAGAAAGTCAATTAATATTCAGATCTCTATAAGAAAAGAAAAACCTCAACTTTTGCTATCCAATACACTAGAACATTTTGTTATAATTCTAAACCAATATTTTACCTGGCAACAGCTCAAAGCCATGATTCATATGCAGTTTTAGGGGTCACATTAGCACACCGGGAATGTCCACAGGACATCAATACGTTTTTCTTTCAAGCCTTCTAAGGATCTTTCCGTTGACTGAACTGAAATTTAAATTTAGCTCTTGAAATGTGCTGGGTCTTCCCAGCATAAAAGAGGCACAATTAAAAACAACACAATGGAGCCTTGGATCCATTCCCAAGTTCTTGTGGTGTATTTGGAAAGAACTCTTGTAAAACATCGCAATAGCACAGAATTACTGGAACGACAATTACTGAGTTATGATTACTGTGATTTTCTTTCAATGCTTACCAGGTACCATTGCTTCGTAAATAAAGGGTCGTTCATGTTGATGTCAATGTCATTGATGTCTCTATATCCTCGTTTCCTTCTGCTGAAGCCCTCCTGCTGCACAGCTTTCCTCACCTGGAAGAGATAATTTTTACATCTTTAGCTCAACATTCTTGACCATATATGAAGATTTTTTAGCCTTGTTTTCAGGAGAGACAAGAGTTATGAAATCACACTTTGTGTCTGTGTCATTCACTTGCAACTTCTAACCAGTGATTGATTTCAGAGCTTCAGGACTACTACAATGGCTATGAGGGGAAGAGACACCCAGACTGTTCTATCTGGAGGAAAGCTACAGCTTGAACATGCTCTAGACACCAAACAATCAGCATTAGAGTAATACCCTATCCAGGCATCATTATTACCATGGATCTTCTTGCTATACTTTTATTTTTCACTGCCATCAAAATAGAAGCTAAAATTCTTTAACTAATTTCCAATATGACACAGTTCCAAGATGCAGACATTTGATAAAATGAGGATGCAGGTCTCAAATGGGCTTTTACTTTTTTGGATATTTCTCTAGTGCATTATCAGACTATTGGATAGACTTCCCTGCCAGAGATTTGCTGGGAAAAAAAGGGTCTGGTGATGTCTGGTTTCATGATACTACTGAGGCTCTCAAAAATTTGTCTTGTAAAGTGATCGACTTTCAGGGATTACCCTTGCAATAAATAAATGATAAATAAATAAGCTGGCAAGAAAAAAACATGTGGCAAAAAAGCCACTAAACTGATCACGCTGGCTAAAGTGCAAGATATGAAAATACAGGTTATGAAACACAAGAAGTCACGTTTTTTTTTAGAAATCCTTTTCTTTCTGCACAGCAAATCCACAAAAGACATTTAAGTAAGCACTATAGAAAAAAAAGAAAAGTTAGACACCCAGATATCTTTAGAGACAGGATCTTCAAATGTCAGACCATAATCACCTTATCTGTAACCCATGTAAAAGAGCATTTCTAAAGGAGAGCACTGAATGGTTGTAATTGGAGTTGTAACATGTGCTACCATATTCAGAGACTTTGCAGAAGTTCTGTCAAGTTTGGCATTCACATTTTGTAGTCTTTAGCCTAACACCTGGAAGCAAGACAGTATGAAGAGTTCCAGTATTTAATTTATAAAAAAATTAAAAACCTAGCCTTCTTGATCAATGAAGAATGCTTAGAACCATAAACTGAGTACACCTTGAGGTGCAGCAAGAAGGCAGTAAGACCCCTAACATTTTCTTTGGAGTGTTCTTGAAAATAATGAATGGTTATTAAGTAAATCTAGTAGCTCTGAGAACCAATTCTACATGCATGGCTTTGGCATTTCCAATTAAAAACATACATACAGGAGTGTTGGGGTCCTTGCAAGGGACGGACTACAGCACACCAATATGATGCTCTGATAGCCAACTTTATTTAGGGCACCTAACAGTATTTACAGTAAAATGTCTCCCGTACATGCAGCTACGCGCTGATCACACAACTTTGGATTGGTTGCTCAACCTGTCAATGCGTGCAGTTGTTACTTATGATAGGTTACAAGTTTAAGCTGCATCCCGCTCTCACATCCTGGGAAACTGATAAGGAGAGCTACACAGTGTCCATGAGAACCTAAACAACAGCACTATTCTCAGCTTGTTAGCAAGATGACTTATCTTATCTATAAGGCAGTAAAACCAAAACCAAACCTAAAAACCCTGGCAGCAGGAGAGAGCAAGACCATTATAAGGTGTTGGATTGAAGACACAGGTATGCATGAAGATAGAAACAAGGTCAGCAAGACCTATTTTGTGTGTCTTTTTAATTGCTTAAGCATTCCTTTAACCATTGCTCAAGTTACAGCTCCTCTGCTAGCCAGGCCCCAACACAGGAGTTATACCACTGTGTCAACAGCAACTCATACTTATACTGTCAGTCAAAACCAACAGAGGAGAAATTAATCCAAAAGCTAAATCAGATCTTAGGTCAGTTGAGTGATTCTTGGAGGTGTCTGTCTCCATTAATTAAAGCAGGATCCTCAAAAGAGAGTGCCCAGTGAGGTGTCTAAGGCAGAGATGAAACTGGGATCTTACTGATGGTGGCTAAAAGCTATTTTCCTCACAGCTATATTGCTTCATTATAATCCTGAAAACCTAACACCTACTCATAGTAAGCAGGATGGAGCATAGCATGCCCTGAAAAGGTAGTGTCAAATGTTTCTAACAATCTACTTGTATGAATTTAAACTCCTTAACTAAAGGTACCAAATGGTAAAATATTGAATTGGTAGGTGCTTTGGTTTATATGTGTGTTCCAATTACTTGTGCAGGTGCATTAAAAATGGAGCAGATTGAAAGTAACGAAAATAACTAATACAAAATAAGCTGGAAAGAGGACAGTGACTAAGTACTAGGTGTGCTTAGTGGTGCCAGGTAGCTGTACAGAGTAAAGAAAGGTATAAGTACACTGTTTGATACCTCTAAGATAAGGCTCAGTGATGCCATGGAGACAACAGAGCAATCACCTGTCATTATGCTTCCCTCCGTTCCCACCCCTGCCTCTCTGCTTGCCACTGCAAACCCCGAGCTGTCACCACAGAACATAATTAGGAACAGAAGCCAACCCTCACTCAGAGGGATGCCAGAGAAAAAGATTTCATGTGTTTGTGCTCCCACGCAAGCCTGCTGGCTCTGCAGGACCTGCTGCATTAAGGCACCGAATCAGGATTTAGTACAAAAGGATTTCTACTAATTAAAAAGCAATTCTGCAGAGCCCTGGCTTGTCTATAAGACAACCTGGAGGAAGTGAGGGAGCAATTTGCAGAAATAGCACAGGCTGGTTTCCCTCTTCAGGATCATCTTGTTTGTCTCATTTGTTCCATCTTCACAATAAAATATAATTTATTTTTTTGTATTATATTACATTATATTACAACTTCCTGAGACAAAGAAATATACCCCCCAAAATGGTATAATCTTCTCTGAACTGAAACTGCTCTGCAGGCTGTTTTCTGAACATTTCACTTGGAGAAAGGGTGTACAGGATGTCACCATCTGCAAATATAACAGTCTTGGAAATTCTGGGCCCTCTTTTTCAGTACAGACAAGGGGGTTTTCCTCATATTTGCATATGGGAGTAACTCATACAATCACACCCAGAAAATAGTAGGCATTTATGTCATTAAAGGAGTTGAAAGGTTTGGGTAAGGTCTTGGTAGCTTCTCCCTTACATGAGCTGCAAAATTGCCTCAACCAGCTGCCTTGTAGAAGGATCTTAGCCAGCACAAGGTAAGAACTTGCCTTTCTGCTCATAAAAACGTGTTTAGAAGGCAATGATCCCCATGACAACAGTAACATAAATGCACTAAGTACCACAACACAGGTAAGATATTTCAAAAACACACACAAGAGAAAACACATCTCTGCATGTCCAACAGTAGAAAAGTATTGGAAAACATTCACATCTTGTAAGAGCCATAATCTCATCTACTTGTGTGAGGTTCAGACTTTGAATCCAGCCCTCAATCCCATCCATACTGCAAGCTTGTGCCATCTTTTATATACTTGTTTCTCTAACTGAAGCCGGAAAAACAATGTTCCGAAGACTCAGGTTTCTAGATAATAGCATCTCTAAATTATTTGAACCTGTGAAGCACGATACTTAATAGAACCTAGTGAAGCAACCAGATTTTCTTACTAAAATAGCATGAATTTTGCCATCTCAAAATTAGGCTACTTATCTACAGTAAGTGCCTTTTGTTTATTTAATTCTTAATTAATTTATTCCTTTTTCATTAGGATACAAGATTAAGCAGAGATCAGAATCTGAGCATCTACTTTACTGGCATAGGACTACATCATGACAAAGTTACTAGTTGTACTGTAAGTGGAATGAAGGTCATGTATCAAAGAAGGTAGCCCATGGATGATAAGATCTTTACCAGGGAAAAGGGTTCAAGTATTGATTTTTAATATACTTGTACTTATGCATGGTGCATAAAGTCACTTGGATGATAATAAACCAGCAGGATACTGATGCAGAACAAATTAACAAAATAATCAATTGACTGCAGTACTGCTCTGGGAGGGCCAGAAACTGCAGCACTCTAACTGTGCTCTCTGCTCCCATGAATGCCAAGATAATCAGCTCCTCGTTTTGATGGAACAGGGTTAATTGTACTGGTGAGCTCCTGCAGTTAAACGACTCTGTTATATTGAGCATAAATGACAGATGTACTAAATTATACCGGTGGGTGTATAAAAGCAGAACAGTACACACAACCCCAACCCCAAAAATCAAGAACTTCAGAACAGGAAAATTTGGGCCAAATTCCAGAGGAAGAAGGTAGTTCCAACTGACGACATCTAGTAGGCATGTTGGTTTTTTTAAAAAAAAACCCCAACAAACACACAGCAGTGAGTTGATGAACTAAAGGAAGTAATGGTTCTTTTTTCTCTAAAGCCTCAGGGTCTGCTCCTGAAGGTGAAGTAAGAAGCTGGAAAGTGACAGACTGTATTTTCGAAGAAGTCAGGCTGGTGGTTGGAATTAGGCCTCAGAAATTGAACTGGAGATCAACATATGCCATGAAGGTGGTTTGGAACAGTGTGTCCAGACACACAAAGATGTTGTCAAACAAACCACCTTCAGCTGGTGGAAAGCTGACCTGTCTGTTGGCATCATTAATTTCTGATATCCAAAGAAACATGGGGGCGACCAAAGGGAGACAGAAAAGTTCAAGTGAGCCAGCGATCCGCACAGCTCTCTTTAAAAAGGAATGAGAATGGGATATCATGTGCATATATCAGATTTTTGGGGTGCTATCCATAAATGACACCCCTCTGCTCCTAAACCTCATACAGAATTAATGAGCGTGTCTTTTTCAACTCTGATTTCTTTCTAAGTAAACACAAAGACATTGAATTCTACTATTCACTCCATCCATATAATGTAAAAGAGATGTATTTCAGACTTCAGAGAGCAGGACCCATATCACATTCTACATTTTTGTTAAAACCACAGTCTTGTGTGACTCTCCACTACAAAATAAACGTATTTATGCTGAAGCTCCTCACTAGTAAAAGAAAGTACAAACCTCCTTGAACTGTAA